GACAGGAGAGGGACAGGCAGAAATATTGAACAAATCTAAACCGGATGTATTGATCTAATGGACATTGCAAGTTTCTGACAGCGTTTGGCACCATACACTACATAAGAAACTTAAAGTAGGAATCTCAGACAGTTTCACAAGTAATAAGTAGCTTTCCTCAAGAATTAACTCTAAAGGCTGTCCAGAATGGAGCAGTCTGAAAATTAGTCACTGCTGCGTATCGCATCGAAGTTAACACGAGAAGTATTATGTGATACTTCAAGACCACTGCAGGACAATATGATGCTCCAGGTTCACTGCAAATCCCGTGAACACCGCAAATTCCAGGTTCACAGCAAATCTTATGCAATTCCCAGCAACACCTTCTAACCTTCCTCAACTCCCTGCTGCATTCGTCAGCTTCCAGCCACATCTCTCAGCCTACCTCAACAACAAGCCACACCTCTCAGCTTCCCTCAACTACAAGCCACACCACTCAGCTTCCCTCAGCTACAAGTCACACCTCTCAGCTTCCCTCAGCTACAAGTCAGACCTCTCAGCTTCCCTCAGCTACAAGTCACACCTCTCAGCTTCCCTCAGCTACAAGCCACACCTCTCAGCTTCCCTCAGCTACAAGCCACACCTCTCAGCCTCCCTCAGCTACAAGCCACACCTCTCAGCCTCCCTCAGCTACAAGCCACACCTCTCAGCCTCCCTCAGCTACAAGCCACACCTCTCAGCCTAGCTCAGCTACAAGCCACACCTCTCAGCCTCCCTCAGCTACAAGCCACACCTCTCAGCCTAGCTCAGCTACAAGCCACACCTCTCAGCCTAGCTCAGCTCCCGTGCACCGACCTGCCCTTGTTCTTTGCTGACATTTGTATCTCCAGTTTTTACTTCTAACCGGAGTCGGTTTTTCCTCCTTATGCCACTGCATCCCTGTGGCAGCGCTGCATCCCTGTGGCAGCGCTGCATCCCTTTGGCAGCGCTGCATCCCTGTGGCAGCGCTGCATCCCTGTGGCAGCGCTGCATCACTGTGGCAACGCTCTGTGTCTATGGCAACGCTGTACCTGCGGCATCGCTGCATTTTATATTATATATATTGTAACATACGATTATGTTACGTTATTGGGTAGATTAGATACGCAGTACACACAGAAATCACACTAACATGATATATCAAATGAACAAATCCACAAGGGCCGTGACGAGGATTCGAACCTGCGACCGGGAGCATCCCAGACACTGCCTTAATCGACTGAGCTACGATAGGGTTAAAAAGAGTTGAAACCGAAGTTCTACTGAACTTACTGGATCCCGCAGCCTCTCCGAGGCACAAACCAGGGTTTTACACAACTCCAGGGATACAGGGTTTGATGTATCATGTTACTGTGATTTTTGTGTGTAATGATGTAAGGGCGAAGAGGGAGAACGGCCTATTGACATAGCTCGAGTGCAGGGGGGTGATTATCAAATCACCTCAATTTGATTTGATAAAATGCTATGTCCAAGATTACCATCAAAGTGCCGGCGGGGAAGTGGTTCAAATAGCTTCGGCTATCACTTCCTTATGTCCGGTCGTGATGGTCAAGCGGATTAAGGCGTCCTGTACATACCAGTTGCGTTGCTCCTGGCAGTATGGGTTCGAGTCACTTCTAGGGTGTTAGTTTTCAGTTGCATATAGTCCTGGGGACCATTCAGGCTTGTTCGTATATATATATATATATATATATATATATATATATATATATATATATATATATATATATATATATATACATACACACATTCATTGAACAGCCACTAGCACGTATAGCGTTTCAGGCAGGTCCTTAATCCTAAGTTCCCCGGAATACGACCCGTCAAATTTTTTAACAACCAGGTACCCATTTTACTTGTGGGTGAACAGAGGCTACAGTTAAGGATTGATGCCCAGTAATTCCTCCCCGGACAAGATACGAACCCAGGACAAAGCGCTCGCGAAACACCAGATGAGTGTCTTACCACTGCACCACGGGAACGCCGCATTTCTGCGGCACCCTTGTACCCCTGTGAAAACACGGTACCTGTGGCAACGCGGTACCTATATGACAACATGGCATCTTTATGGAAACACCGTTTACCACAAAGGTACCGCGCTGCCACAAAGACAACACGGTACCTTTGCGGCAACGCAGTATTCCCATACCTTTCTGGCAACATGGTACCTTTGAGGTAACGCGGTTCATCTGCGGTAACACTTTGGCAACGCTGTATCTTTGGTAACGCATTACCTCTGGTAACGTTCCTCATCTTGCTCCCATTCACACACTATCTTGCTCTGAGGACGACTGGACTGGCTCGAAAACGCGTTCAGCATTCTTTAATTTTTCAATTTGTTTTTTCCGCACTACTATATTCCCATCACAAACAATCAATATATTACCAAACATTCTGGTTGATAAACCCATTTCTTCCTTTACACATGCAGTATGATATCAAGTGTGTAGCGAGTAGATTATCCCAATAATATACTCGCTCCAAATGCATTGTTGATATTCCTGTCAACCTTTGGAGATGAATGAGGTGAGGCGTTTGGACCTCCATATCCTTTATTGGGATAATCTACTCGCTACAAGTGTATACACAAATACTTTTATGGCTAAGTACACAGACATAAATTACAATAGACACCCAGACAAATCAACAAAGAGTATCAATCTTGGTGCAATATTCTTATATTTCTCCCGAATATCATCAATCTTTCCGTTGTGACTCAACCAGGTTATTTACTTGATTTACCTGAAGGCCACTAACCCTAGTAGCCTCGACGAGGACAGGAAGCCGGCGGCTTGTCGAAGGTCCCCCTTGCCTTCATGATCTTTTCCAGGTATATTTTAAAACTCAACACAGTTTTGGTAGGTACGGCTTCTGCAGGTAGGCGGTTCCATGGTTCAATAATAAAATAATTGATTGTGTCGGGAGACAGGAAACCAGAGTGTATTCATACAGGTTTGGCTTTTATCGAGGTCCTCCCCCCTCCCCCTCCATGGCCGAATTACTGACCCCACCCCAGGATGCAACCCCACAACAAGCTGAATAACTCCAGAGTACCTACTCACTGCTAGATGAACAAAGGCATTAGGTGAAAGGAAATGTGCCCGACCATTTCTGTCCCGCCCGCGATTAATAACCCTGTAGGTGAAAAAGCATCTCCTGTTCTCAGTCCTACATTTTGGCTTGTTGAGCTTGAAACCGTTGCTACTTGTTTGTGTTACATCTGACCTTCTGAAGAAAAATATTCGGATCAACATCTTCTAACTTGTTCAGTATTTTAAAAGTTTCAATGAGATCCGCCCTGTCATGCATGGTTTGCAGTGTTGTTAGCCCTGTGGCCTTCAACCGCTCCTGATACGAGAGATGACTTAGCTCTGGAATAACTTTGTTGCCCGGTGATGTACCTTCTCCAAGGCAGCTATATGTCCTGAAAATGAGGTCTCCATTCTTGGATACAGTAAACCAGATGGGGGGCGCACCTTGAATCATTATCTTTTTTTCCTTGAAGTCAAAAGTACGTTTGATTATCCCAAGAGTTTGGTTAGCTTTTCTGACTGCGCTGCCCGCCTGTTGTGCAACTTTTAATGAGTGGTGGATTTTGACTCCAAGGTACATTCTTTCATTAATCTGCTGTAATGTAATGCTATTAATTAGGTGGTCATGGCGTGGGTTGTTATGCCCCACATGCATGATCTTGCATTTGACGATATTAAAAAGCATTTGTCAGTTTTCTGACAATTTGTGGAGTTCATTTAGATCTCATTGTAAGGCTTCAATATCATTATCATTTCCCACTTTACCATAAAAAGATACATTTGTTTCTTTTCATTTGTTTAATTTGTTCAGAAACAATCCTTATCTTGTCCTTATCTAAGGAGTAGTTATTATCGCGAGTAACCGAACTCAATTACGGGCTCACCATAGCCCGTGCTACATGGACGTTTCGTTCTGAGTAGCTAAATCTAAAACAACAACAACCATAACAGTATACGGGCTATTCATGCCCGTGCCACCTCTTGGGGTGGCTTAATCTTCATCAATAATCATCCATAACAGTTACGGGCTCACCATAGCCCGTGCAAATTGGAACTTTTTGTTCCGAGTAGCTGAATCTGTTTTTTTTTTAATATATACACGGGTTCTTACATTCTTGTACAGCCACCATCACGTATAGGGTTTCGGACAGGTCCTTAATCCTATGTTCCCGGAATACGACCCCCGCGAAGAATCGTTTAACAACCAGGTACCCATTTTACTGTTGGGTTAAACAGAGGCTACAGTTAAGGATTTGCGCCCAGTAAATCCTCCCTGGCCAGGATACGAACCCCGGACAAAGCGCTCTCGGAACGCCAGGCAAGCGTTTTACCACTACGCCACGGGGACTGCCAAATCTAAAACAACAACAACCATAACAGTCACAGCCCCGTTCCTGTGCCAGGTGTCTACTACGGGCTCACCATAGCCCGTGCTACTTGAAACTTTTTGTTCCGAGTAGCTGAATCTAAAACAACAACAACAGCCATAATAAATTGTGCAAATGGACTTTGGAGAGTTAATTTTTTCAACTTCCCTCGAAAGGGAAAAAAATATAAGAAATATTGAGAAGATTCGTGTTAGAATCATTACTCTTACCTTTTCGGTCATATTCAACAACATATGTGTACATGAAAGATTACTACCCACAATTTTGGGGTCGTCAAGAAGGAATATTACCTGGTCCACACAGCATCTGGAAGCATGCAATGCGTGTGAGTGATATTACAAGTGTGGCAAGGTTGTTATCAGAAGGCGTTAGTAGGCGACTGATAGTTGACATGGCTGTTAGTTGTGCGTCACTAGCCAAGAGAGTAAACAATGGTGACCAGGGCTGATGGGGTTTGAATGTCATGTTCAAGAGGTTCCAGTTTTTCCAGTTTTTTTTTATAAATTGGAGCGGCCGTTTGGAAGACAATAGCGCGCCAGTCTCAACGAAGAGCTGGCGGCGGACAGTTCCCTCCTGGGCCTCCACGCGAGCACTCCGTCACTAGAAGTATAACAGCAGCTATGAACTTAAACTTGTTTAAGATATCTGATGTCAAAAATGACGGGGAACATAATATGAGCACAGGTGAGTGAGCACAACGCGTCCTTGAGAAACGTAGGCAACGTTGAGAGACGCAGGCGACATTGAGACGCAGGCAACGTAGATGACACTGAGGGACAGAGATGCCGTTGCGAAACGTAGATGGCGTTATGAGGTTCCAATGACGTTGTGGGACTCAGATGACATTAAAGGACGCAGGTGACTAAGTTTGCTGTCTACGCCAAAGTTACTGTTTGGTTCACGCTGACGTCTACGCCACGCTTACTGTCTACGCTAAAAAGGCTGTCTTGTTTGAAGCCGGATGTTTCTTGTGTCGTAACGGTAAGAAACATGGTGTTGCCCCGACGTCCCAGGACCCATTACTATATTTTGTTCCACTCTTTGTTATTTAAAAGGTCGTTGATTTCGTCATTATCATAAAAGTGACTCCATAAATAGATAATATTTTACAATGTTTAGTAGGAAAAGAGTTAAGTTATAACTACATGGTAACTATAGTAACCACGTGGAAAATAGCGAGACAGTCTCACTATAGGAAGGTTGATGGTATTTATAGAAAAACTGCATTGTTACATCTAAAACTGCACTAATTCATGGCACACCGGTAAAGCAACGGGAGAATATTGTGGCTTCACTAAGTGTCCATGATGGTGCTCATGAAAATAAAATCTGAATGTAAGTCCTTTGTAACAGACAAACTTTCGCAAGGAAGCAGTTGAATAAACAAGTTTTTGTGCTTAGCTCTTGCTATTGTGAAGACTGGCCATCACCTTAGAGTTCTTACACACTTATGCCTGGAAAGGCCAATAAGCTCTTATGTAACACTATATTTGTTTTTGTTGCCATCTCTCTCAAGCTTGAATTATTATGCATTGCATTGACTTTGACCTTAAGACAGTCGGTACCAAGATACAAGGTCAATTGTGTCCGCAAGTCACGCATTGCCTCATCCACGAAGTCTACCGTTCAAAACAGTATATTATACGAGAACTTGAAGCTCGACATAACCTCAGTCATCTTAGCATCCGTATAACTGTTCCTGATGTTCTTATGCCTAATGTTCTTATGAAGCTCTGGAAACATCATCTGGTTATGTGATTTCACTATGTTTCAACAAGTCATTACAAGATTCTATAAAAATATTGAGATGCCCTATGAGGCACAGCCAGCTGCCAACAGAAGAACGGCCAGCTGGCCAGAGAGGAACATCCAGCTGGCCAGAGAGGCACATCCAGCTGGCCAGAGAGGCACAGCCTACTGCTCAATGTGCAAGCCTCACCCAATTTTTCAGAGGAAATGGTCTGTGGTACGGGACGGACGTAGGCTGGTCGGTGCCGTCCAAAGTTAATTACTTTAAAATATTAGCATGGGTGTAAATCACGAAAAATAAACACGTGATTAAAAATGTGAGCATGTATAGAGACCGCAATGAGATTTTTATGGAGTCGAGTGTTAAGGATATTGTCTTTCCTAAAGAGTATTTAGTGTTTCATAATAATGATTTTTTCTTAGAGAAAGGGGGAGAGGAGGAGGCAAGAGGGGATTAGGGAGGAGGACGAGGGAAAGGCATGAAATGGGGAGCCAGCGGGAGGGAGGACAAGTGGGAAAGGGGAGATGAAGTGAAGAGGGGGAAGGGAGTGGGGCAGGGGAAGATGCGGGAAGAACGGAAAAGGGGAGGTGGGGGGAGAGGGCAAAAAGGAGAGGAGTGAAAGGGGAAGTGGAGGAAAGACAGATTATGCCGGGTTTATATCGTCAGATATAAATTTATATATATATATATATATATATATATATATATATATATATATATATATATATATATATATATATATATATATATATATATATATATTATTAAATATGACCGAAAAAGTAAGATTAATAATTCTAACACGAATTTTCTCAATCTTTCGTACATTACGCTTCACTGTTGGAGGTAAATCAAAAATCAATTCTCCAAAATTCATTTTTATTTCTAGTCTGACGCGACACGGGCGCGTTTCGTAAAACTTATTACATTTTCAAAGACTTTAGTTCACAAATACACAACTGATTAGAACTTACGTATCTCCGATTTTATATCTACATTTGAGTGAGGTAGGAGGGGTGATGTGGCATTAACACAAGACAGAACAAGAGGGGATATTAATAGGGTATTAAAAGTATCAACACAAGACAGAACACAAACAATGGGTATTGAATAGAAGTGTTTGTAGAAAGCCTATTGGTCCATATTTCTTGATGCTTCTATATTGGAGCGGAGTCTTGAGGTGGGTAGAATATAGTTGTGCAATAATTGGCTGTTGATTGCTGGTGTTGACTTCTTGATGTGTAGTGCCTCGCAAACGTCAAGCCGCCTGCTATCGCTGTATCTATCGATGATTTCTGTGTTGTTTACTAGGATTTCTCTGGCGATGGTTTGGTTGTGGGAAGAGATTATATGTTCCTTAATGGAGCCCTGTTGCTTATGCATCGTTAAACGCCTAGAAAGAGATGTTGTTGTCTTGCCTATATACTGGGTTTTTTGGAGCTTACAGTCCCCAAGTGGGCATTTGAAGGCATAGACGACGTTAGTCTCTTTTAAAGCGTTCTGTTTTGTGTCTGGAGAGTTTCTCATGAGTAGGCTGGCCGTTTTTCTGGTTTTATAGTAAATCGTCAGTTGTATCCTCTGATTTTTGTCTGTAGGGATAACGTTTCTATTAACAATATCTTTCAGGACCCTTTCCTCCGTTTTATGAGCTGTGGAAAAGAAGTTCCTGTAAAATAGTCTAATAGGGGGTATAGGTGTTGTGTTAGTTGTCTCTTCAGAGGTTGCATGGCTTTTCACTTTCCTTCTTATGATGTCTTCGATGAAACCATTGGAGAAGCCGTTATTGACTAGGCTTCAAGAAGTCAATAACGGCTTCTCCAATGGTTTCATCGAAGACATCATAAGAAGGAAAGTGAAAAGCCATGCAACCTCTGAAGAGACAACTAACACAACACCTATACCCCCTATTAGACTATTTTACAGGAACTTCTTTTCCACAGCTCATAAAACGGAGGAAAGGGTCCTGAAAGATATTGTTAATAGAAACGTTATCCCTACAGACAAAAATCAGAGGATACAACTGACGATTTACTATAAAACCAGAAAAACGGCCAGCCTACTCATGAGAAACTCTCCAGACACAAAACAGAACGCTTTAAAAGAGACTAACGTCGTCTATGCCTTCAAATGCCCACTTGGGGACTGTAAGCTCCAAAAAAACCCAGTATATAGGCAAGACAACAACATCTCTTTCTAGGCGTTTAACGATGCATAAGCAACAGGGCTCCATTAAGGAACATATAATCTCTTCCCACAACCAAACCATCGCCAGAGAAATCCTAGTAAACAACACAGAAATCATCGATAGATACAGCGATAGCAGGCGGCTTGACGTTTGCGAGGCACTACACATCAAGAAGTCAACACCAGCAATCAACAGCCAATTATTGCACAACTATATTCTACCCACCTCAAGACTCCGCTCCAATATAGAAGCATCAAGAAATATGGACCAATAGGCTTTCTACAAACACTTCTATTCAATACCCATTGTTTGTGTTCTGTCTTGTGTTGATACTTTTAATACCCTATTAATATCCCCTCTTGTTCTGTCTTGTGTTAATGCCACATCACCCCTCCCACCTCACTCAAATGTAGATATAAAATCGGAGATACGTAAGTTCTAATCAGTTGTGTATTTGTGAACTAAAGTCTTTGAAAATGTAATAAGTTTTACGAAACGCGCCCGTGTCGCGTCAGACTAGAAATAAAAATGAATTTTGGAGAATTGATTTTTGATTTACCTCCAACAGTGAAGCGTAATGTACGAAAGATTGAGAAAATTCGTGTTAGAATTATTAATCTTACTTTTTCGGTCATATTTAATAATATATGTCTACAGGAAAGACTGCTACCAAAATATATATATATATATATATATATATATATATATATATATATATATATATATATATATATATATATATATATATATATATATATATATATATATATATATATATATATATATATATATATATATATATATATATGCGAACAAGCCTGACTATCAAGGCCCCCCAGGACTATAGCAACTGAATAATATAATTCACAGCCCCAGAAGTGACTCGAACCCATACTGCCGAAAAAGTTAGGACTCTAGGTTGGTAGGTACAGGACAATTAATCCATTAACCGCTCGCTTATCGGGCCTTGCATAGTAGAGAAGTAGTTCTTATATATATATATATATATATATATATATATATATATATATATATATATATATATATATATATATATATATATATATATATATTCATATGACTCACCCACACTGGCGTACAGGATCCCATCGCTCACACACACATACACACACACACACACACACACACACACACACACACACACACACACACACACACACACACAGTGTCCTTGACTTGTATACCATGCAAGGTGATGGAGAAGATCGTGAGAAAAAACCTGATAACACATCTGGAGAGAAGGGACTTCGTGACAAATCGCCAACATGGGTTCAGGGAGGGTAAATCTTGCCTTACAGGCTTGATAGAATTCTACGATCAGGTGACAAAGATTAAGCAAGAAAGAGAGGGCTGGGCGGACTGCATTTTCTTGGATTGTCGGAAAGCCTTTGACACAGTACCGCATAAGAGGCTGGTACATAAGCTGGAGAGACAGGCAGGTGTAGCTGGTAAGGTGCTCCAGTGGATAAGGGAGTATCTAAGCAATAGGAAGCAGAGAGTTACGGTGAGGGGTGAGACCTCCGATTGGCGTGAAGTCACCAGTGGAGTCCCACAGGGCTCTGTACTCGGTCCTATCTTGTTTCTGATATATGTAAATGATCTCCCAGAGCGTATCGATTCATTTCTCTCAATGTTTGCAGACGATGCTAAAATTATGAGGATTAAAACAGAGGAGGACTGTTTGAGGCTTCAAGAAGACCTAGACAAGCTGAAGGAATGGTCGAACAA